ATTGGCTTTAGCTTAAAATTTCAGGGGTGGTTTGGGCTGTGGGCTCTGGGGCTCATTGGGTTAGGTGGCGAAGGTGTAATTGCACTTAACATTTTTAATGGCTATAATAAATAAGGTTTTTCTGTAACCAGCTACTAACTAAAGTAACCACTAAATACCTAAAACGGCTTTAAAGGTTTGCTTTCAAAATTTCTGACGATCTCAGCTCAACCACTTTTATCTGGAACTTTTAAATTACACCCCCCCGCCTCCCCCTTTCACCTTACATGGGTAAAACAGCAACTTACAAGGTGCAATTAAAAATTTAAATTGTGAAGTGAAATTATTCCTAAATTAAAACAAAACTTCGGGGAAAGGTTATCACGTTGCATACTTGAAAAAACCATTAGTTATGTGAACACTGATTTAAGCTCACCTACCCATGCACGGACAATAAAACACGTAACCACGAGTGTCCCATTTGAAACTCGATCCATTGCTTTCCACTTCGGAAGTAAACACTTGGTTGAGCAAAGAAAAAAAATACGAAAGCAACAGAATGACACTTGCATGATCAGGACGCATCTTGGAAGAAATGAAGCGCTTCAGCGAAATAACCAGTAATCAAAGCCCAGAAAATTGAATGGAAGGAAATAAATAACAGTAAATCTCAGCTAAGCTGAGTAAATAAGCAAATGTGGGCAGCTGTTCTCAGAAAGATGACCGCTGAAGGAATGCAGTCAATGTTTTCCCAGGTATCTGTTCGCTCGTGACTTCAACATGGCGGTTCTTTCAAAAACACAGCAGACTCGAAGTGATGACGGTGATGACGATTTCTCGGGTTGTCTGGCGGATCAGGTAAGGACATACATGTCACTTACATCTTAGAAAATTCAAAACAACGTTATTAACTATTTAGTTTTTATACAAACACATTGCAGGCAAGCAAAACGGTGGGAAGAGCGCACTTGAAGAAATGCGAGTTAACCTGTGCGAGGCAAATCCGCGATGGTCGCGATCGACTAGCATCCCTCCCAGGGGGAGATGAAATAGCTTTCGTC